TTTACTTCTTACTAGCCTCTTAGTGTTTGTTTCATTGCTTCAATATTGCATTGTGGATAGATGAGTGTGGGCAAGCACACATTCTGGTGTGAATGGAGGCAGTCGGTGGATGAATTTCAGATTACTCAGAAACCTTGGACCCTTGACATTTATCTGTCTGTGTTTACATAGTAGCCTCCTTTTCACCAGGAGGTTGTTAGGCTCAGTAAGTTCCAGGGGTTGGAGATGCTCCTGCCAACCTGCCACCCTTGCTTTCCCTGCCAGACTGTCTTGACCCAGGGAATGGATCCTAAACCCATCTCTCCTGTTTAAAATTTCCCGAGCTCTCCCTGACTCCCCACCGGTGCTGACCATCTGGCAGTGCTGCAGACTGGGCTGTGCTGTAGGCAGGCTGCCTGGCCTCTCCTTGCCTGGCCTCTTGAAGTGCAGCACTGGCTGCTTTGAGTCATGGAAAGAGATTAGTAGGGAAGTCGATGATTTATTTGCCTAAGCAGGCACTGTGTCTTACCGTAGCCCTTTCCCAAACGGAAATGTCTACATTTTCCAAGTGTTCAAAGCCTCTTCCTCTGCCCTTCCTCCTCCCACTCAAAATGTGCCATTCACAGAGCCTCTCCCACAGATGTTCAGCACTTTTGCTGAGAGGTTGGCTGGTCTGGTACAAAAGTGATGCTCAAGCAGTGTCCTGTGTCAGCAGGGTTTGACTTCTTCTCATAAGCAGCTGTTTTGGTGCATCCACCCGTCAGGAGTACAAACAATGTGTGGCTTCTGCACTGGGACCCTCCGGGTGATGGGCCCAGCAGCCAAGGCTTGTTAAAGGGATGACACAGGAGAATCTGGAAATTGCTTGCCATAACTTAGTTCTCTTAATGGTTTCTCCTGTGGTTCCCCCCCCTATTTCACAGCAGTTGTTCCAGTAACCAAGAATTACAAAAGCGTGGCCTTTTGGAGGTCCTCACCCAAAGTCTGGATGTGACCTCAGAGGCACAAAAATAGGTGGTTTGATTTAATGGGAACAAAATACAGTATGATCTTCCCCCTCCCAAGTGCTCAGAAAGCAAGAAATTGGCTTTAAAAATCCTGAGGATGTTCTTTTATTCTATGGTAGGCACATCAATATCATTTTCTAGAAGGTGAGGAAAATTGAGGGTTTATTTTCAAACCTTTTCTACCCTTCCATAAAAGCTGGGATCATGTTTTATTTCTTTCAAAAGAGAGCTGGTATTTTTTTATAACTTTGTAGTCCCCAGAAGTAGGAGGCTTTAGGAAAACCTCATTCTGTCAGAAGTCCTAGTGACAGAGCTTTTAATGCATTGAGTTTCAGACCTCTTGGTGCAATTCCTAAAAGACGGACAGTTGTCATGGAGGGCAGACGAGTTGTCCCACTGAGCACTTGGCCACTGCAGGGTTGCAGCCTGCTGTCAGGAAGCCTGGGATGAAATCAGGGTCAGAGGCTGGAAGTTCCTGCCAGAAGCTGCTATTCTGATTTGGCAGTGGCCCTAGCTTGGGGACCAGAGCAATGAGCCTCAGTGCTGGTGTGGGGCTGCCAAGCTAGGTTTGTGCCATGCTGGAATGAACACAGTGGGGATCTGGTCTGTGACTCTTATGCTGTTGGGCAGCTGAGGGGGAGAAGCAGAGGTGGCTGGGGTGAAATGAGGATGGTTGGATGTCCTGCCAAAAGCCATCTGAATGACCCCAAGATGTGCAGCCCAGACGGGCAGAGCAAGGGGATGGGGATGTGTTTCAGGGCAGGGAGAGAGACAGAAGCACCAGTTGGACTTGCAGGTCTCAGTCCATCTTGGAGGCCTCCTTGGGAAGAGGGTGCCTCCAAGCAGCAGTGCATCCCATGGCTCCTGTCCTGATGGATCCCAAACTAGCCAAACTTAGTCTGGGGACTGCTCTTCTCCTGCAGAAGTATTGCTCTCCTCTGCAACACTCTCAGTGTGTTTCTGCAGCCTCCCTGACATGTGTTTCATGTTAGCACCCCCTCAACAATCAAGAGCTGGCTGGAAAGTATGTTATCAAATTCAAAGGGAGCATTTCATTTCCCAGTTAGATCTGGATTTTTAAACTTCTAAGCTTGTCTCATTTCAAGGATGGAAACAGAAGAAAACATCTCTTGTTAGTTTTGGAGAACACAATTAATGTATTTTGGCTTCACAAACCATCTCTAAGAGAGAATGTGCAAACTCGAAGGGTTCAAGGGGGTTAAAGTCCAGGGTGATGACCTGCACCACAAGACTGCTGCTGGTGCAGAGGTGTTTTGAAACACACCCTCCTTGAGGACACATTGCCATCTTGGAAATGAAACTGGGAAGAGAAACTAGGTTCATCACGGGCATAGTGGTGAAAGGCTTCCTGTAGGGATGATCTTAGATGGCACAGAGACTGCTTAGCCACATCAGCACTATGTGTGGGACCATGGGAGAGCTGGGACTGGAAATGTGCAGCATGTTTTGCTGTAAAATGTGTGTATTGAGTACCACTCTGCAAACCTCAGCTCTGGGTCAGCACCACCAGAAGATTTGCTGCCACATTGCCCTGGAGCTCCTCTCAGGTTGTATCCCAAGCAAGAGGATGGAGTGGATTCCTATCTCCAGTGCTCCAGGTAGATATTGAGAAGTGGGACAAATCTTGTTGTGCCTGTATGAGAAATAAATGTTTCCCACTCATAGAATTTCTCCAGTCTTCAAGCTGTATTGGAGATGGACAGCACCAGGAGTGGAGCTCATGGTGCTTGCAGGAATGGCCACTCTTTCAAGCTGATGCACAGGTAATGAAGATTGTGACATTTTTGCCATTAAAGGTCAAGATGGAAATTCCCACTCTTGGCACATTTGCCAGTGAATTCTTGCATATTGAGCCAGTGTGGCCAAGGCAGGAAACACACGTCAACATGTTTTTAAATTTCAAGCTCACACCCCACACTTAGTCATCCTCATACAGAACAGCTTTTTCTTCATCCTCTTCAAAAAACAAACCAGCTTCCTTTAAGATGCTGTTTCTTATGTTTTCTAATTGCAGTGGTTTAATAGGATACATTTGGAAATGGACATTTCCCTTCCCCAGGACAGTCATTCCAGGCTCCATCTCCAGCCTGCCAGGGGCTGGAAGGGATGTGCAATCTTTCTAGACTCCTATCGCTTGACACTGAGGCCTTTAAAAACTCAACTATTTTATGGTCCAGAGGCAGATTTCCAATGGATTCACACTTATGCTGGGTTTTGTGGTGTCCTAGGAGCACTGAGCTAAGGCTGATGCTGCAGAGGCTCTGTGACTCTGCCCAAGAACAGTGGTGTGGCTCTCACTCAGGTCAGGACCATGGGTGGTATGAATGCTATTGGCTTGTTTCCCTTGGCCCTCACAGCTCAAATTCAAGCCTGAGCACATTTACTAAATGCCATATACATGAATTCCCAGTGCCAGCTGCTTTGGAGTCCCTGAAATAGTGCCCACTTAACAAAACCATGATTTACGGCTAATTTGGAAACACGCATTTCCATGGAGGCACCAAACCTGCTCTGTGTGACAGCCCAAACACCTGAATTAATTGTGAATAAAAACCAGACACCCCACTTGGTTTGCTTGTGAAGTGGAGGTCACGGGGGTCCCCACTCTGCAGCTGCACCCTGAACAGCTGTGGTTGTGGATGTAGCTGTGCCCATGGGCTCGAACCTGATGCTTTGTAGGGAGGGGGAAAACCAAACCTGCCTGCACAGCTGTGTCTGGAGAAAGGGCAAGGCTCTCATCATGAAGGCAAACAGAGCAAGGGATTTTAATCTCCATCAGATGTAGGCAGGGAAGGAGGTCACCTCTAGAGATCTTGTAAACATAATCTCCTCTGTCTAGTAATGTTCGAATTTGCAGGCTGGATCCAAAACAAATGGTGGGAGTGCAAAAGAAGCTGCAGGAAAGCAGTTTGTGATATGCTGGGACATATGAGATGCCTAGTAAAACAGAAGGTGTTCCTGTGACTTCTGGCAAGGGATATAGCTTGACAATCCACAGCCTCTCTGGTAATCTTGGCGTGATAGGAGAGGCAGAGAGATCAGTGGGTTTGTGTTGATGAAAGGAGCGTGTATATAATTTATCATGTCTGGGGCACTTAAGGCTGTTTCCAACGGGAAGGCTGAGCTGTAATTAGGTTGCTGATGAGCACTGTATACAAACCCTTCAGCTCTATAAACTATGCCTTCAAAGGCATCCCTTCTCCTAGGGACAGACCCATGAGGAATTTGAGCAGTCTCTCCGGTGAGCTGATGGATGCCTCTCTGAAAGCAGCTGCTTGGTGGAAAACCACTTCACTTAGCAACACTGAAAGCCTTGGAGCCTGTTGACTTTCTCAGCCCATCATTAAACCCTGTAGTTGCAAGGGGATGCTTCAGTAGAAGAGTGCCCTTACTGGACCAGTTTCTTTATCCATCTCTGCTGTGAGCTGGCCCAAACTACTCCCAGTTTAGCTGGTCCCAGCAACCTTCATGGCTCTGGCTTAGACACAGAGGCCTCATTTGGACACAGGAGATGGTGCTTGTTAACTCAACTTTTTTTAAGATTTTTGGGAAAACTTCTTAGGTAAAGCTGTTAGGAAAGAAGGGTAGGAAAGACCTTATGAAGTGGGTGACCTGCTAGGCTTTTTGCTGCTAAACTCTGGGTTCAAAACCAGCAAGGAAGCACTGCTCCGTTCCTATGTCTATGTTTCTTGATGTAAACAGAGAAAGAAGAGATTACTTCATACAAAACTAGGACGGAAGAGGTGCCCTTTTGTTTTGAGTGACTAGAGAGGGAAGCTATAAGAACAGTGAGTAGGTATTTTTGCTGCTAAATCTAGACATTAATTTGATATCTAGATGTTTCCCATCAGCATCTGTTTGTTACTCTGCCCAATAATGTCTTGCTGGCAGCTTTTCCTGCTGGGCTGCTGGTCCCTCCTGTGCAGGGGCAACCGCAGCCCCCATTGCTGTCTCAGGACGTTGCTGATCCTTCTGCCCTGCTCTTGCCTTCAGGCCATGGAGAGTGTCACTGTGGGGAGTGCAAGTGCCACACCGGTTACATCGGGGACAACTGCAACTGCTCCACTGAGACGGACAGCTGTGTTTCCAGTGATGGGCAGATGTGCAGCGGCAGGGGCACCTGTGTCTGTGGGAAGTGTCAGTGCACCGAACCAGGGGCTTTTGGAGAGACCTGTGAGAAGTGTCCCACCTGCCCAGGTGTCT